GTGACGAGTTATTAGTGCATCTGGTTTTGTTGTCTCTTCCTGCACAGTTTAACCAATTTAAGGTCAGTTATAACTGTCAAAAGGAGAAATGGACTCTAAATGAGCTCATTTCATACTGTGTGCAAGAAGAAGACAGGTTGAAGCAAGATAAGACAGAAAGTGCTCATTTGGCCTATGCCTCTAAGGATAAGGGCAAGAAAAGGAAGAATGATAAGGAAGCTGCTAAGGGTCCAGTTGAGAAGAAACAACATAAGGATAATCAGGGTTGTTTCTTCTGTAAGAAGCCTGGACATGTAAAGAAGGACTGTACAAAATATCACGCCTGGCGTGATAATAAGGGTACGTTCCTTGCTTTGGTCTGTTCTGAGGTTAATTTAGCTTCAGTACCTAGAAACACTTGGTGGTTAGACTCTGGTGCTACTACTCACATAAGTGTTTCTATGCAGGGTTGCCTGAGCTACCGAAAGCCAAGTGATGTTGAAAGACACATCTTTGTGGGCGACGGACAATCGGTAGATGTGGAAGCAATTGGGCACTTTAGGTTGTTGTTAGGAACTGGTTATTATTTGGATTTAAAAGATACTTTTGTAGTACCGTCTTTTAGACGGAATTTGGTTTCTGTTTCTGTATTGGACAAATCAGGTTATTCTTGTTCATTTGGAAACAGTCAATTCAGTTTATCTTTTAATTCAAATGTTGTGGGAACCGGTTACTTGAGTATTTATGACAACCTATATTTGCTTGATACAATTGCTTCTTACAATGAATCCTTGCATGTGGAATCACGTGGTACTAAGCGTAAATTAAATAAGGAAAATTCGGCGACATTATGGCATAAGCGCTTAGGTCATATCTCAAAAGGTAGAGTTGAGCGTCTTGTGTCTGATGGCATTTTGGATTCCCTTGATTTTTCGGACTTCGACGTATGTGTTGAATGTATCAAGGGAAAACAGACCAAAGTGAAGAGATTAGGTGCCAACAGATCTTCGGATGTCTTAGAATTGATACATACGGATATTTGTGGGCCATTCCCTACGGAATCCTGGAATGGTCAACAATATTTTATATCATTCATAGACGATTACTCACGTTATGGGCACCTATATCTTATTCATGAAAAATCTGAGTCTCTGGACATGTTCAAAGCCTATAAAGCTGAAGTTGAGAATCAACTCAACAGAAGAATTAAAACCGTCAGATCTGATCGTGGTGGTGAGTACTACGGTAGATATGATGGTTCAGGTGAACAACGTCCAGGACCATTTGCTAGATACCTAGAGGAATGCGGTATCGTCCCACAGTACACTATGCCGGGTTCACCTAGCATGAATGGTGTAGCTGAAAGACGAAACAGGACTCTTAAGGATATGGTAAGAAGTATGATTGCTCATTCTTCTTTACCAGAGTCACTCTGGGGAGAAGCACTTAAGACAGCAGCTTACATTCTGAATAGAGTACCAAGTAAAGCAGTTGCTAAAACACCTTATGAGCTTTGGACTGGTCGAAAGCCCAGTTTAAAGCATTTACATATTTGGGGATGTCCAGCTGAGGCAAGGCCTTATAGGCCAAATGAAAAGAAATTGGACTCCAAAACAGTTAGCAGCTACTTTATTGGGTACCCTGATCGCTCTAGGGGCTATAAGTTTTATGATCCCACTATAAGGAATATTTTTGAGACGGGAACAGCAACATTCTTTGAGGATGTTGAGTTTGGGGGGAGAAATAAGGTTAGAGACATTAGTTTTGAGGAGGAATTGGCTTCAGATCCAATCCATACAGTTACTTTTGACAATATTCAGGTTCCTATACCTGTTGTTGCTCAAGAAGTAAATCCGGAACCTCAAGATGATAATGTTGAACAACTCCCTGTTCCAGAAGAACAAACTCAACAACCTCAAGAACCAGTGCCATTAAGGAGATCCACGAGAGAAAGGAGAAATGCTATTCCGGATGATTATATTGTATTTCTCCAAGAACATGAGGAAAGTAGTGGAATGTTAGAAGATGATCCAATCAACTTCTCTCAGGCCATGAAAAGTTCTAACTCTCAACAGTGGATTGATGCCATGAATGAAGAGTATAAGTCTATGCAAGACAATAAGGTTTGGGAACTTGTCCCATTGCCAGAAGGTGCAAAACCAATTGGTTGTAAATGGATTTTTAAAACCAAGCGGGATGCAAACGGTAATGTGGAGAGGTATAAGGCGCGTCTTGTGGCTAAAGGCTATACTCAAAAGGAAGGCATTGATTATACAGAGACTTTCTCTCCGGTTTCATCGAAAGACTCTTTCAGAATAATCATGGCACTTGTTGCTCATTATGATCTTGAGTTACATCAGATGGATGTTAAGACTGCATTTCTCAATGGAGACATTGATGAGATGATTTATATGGTGCAACCAGAAAACTTTGTGTCAGGAGACCCAAAGAATATGGTTTGCAAATTAAGGAAATCCATCTATGGACTCAAGCAAGCTCCTCGTCAATGGTATCATAAGTTTCAACAAATAGTTATCTCGTTCGGTTTTGAGATGAACATTGTTGATGACTGTGTATATCACAAGTTCAGTGGGAGTAAGTATATTTTTCTGGTTCTGTATGTGGATGACATCTTGCTTGCCACTAATGATATAGGCATGTTGCACGAAACCAAGAGATTTCTATCAAAGAATTTTGAGATGAAAGATCTTGGGGACGCCTCTTTTATATTAGGGATCCAGATACATCGAGATCGCTCTCGGGGTATTCTTGGATTATCACAAAAGAGCTATATCGATAAGGTACTTAAAAGGTTTGGCATGCAAGATTGCAGACCAGGTGACACCCCTGTTGCTAAAGGAGACAAGTTTAGTCTCAATCAGTGCCCTAAAGGTAACCTTGAAATTCAGGAAATGCAGAAGATTCCTTATGCTTCGGCTGTAGGAAGTCTAATGTATGCTCAGGTATGTACGCGTCCGGATATTGCGTACATTGTTGGGATGTTAGGCAGATACTTAAGCAACCCTGGTATGGATCATTGGATAGCAGTCAAAAGGGTTATGAGGTATCTTCAGAAAACAAAAGATTACATGCTCACATACAGAAAATCAGAGAAATTAGAGGTCATTGGGTATTCGGACTCTGATTTTGCTGGATGCCAAGATAGCAGGAAGTCTACATCAGGCTACATTTATATGTTAGCAGGAGGAGCTATATCATGGAAAAGTGTCAAACAAACACTAGTAGCTTCCTCCACTATGGCAGCAGAATTTGTAGCTTGCTATGAGGCATCCAATCAGGGAATATGGCTGCGAAATTTTGTCACGGGACTGCGCATTTTGGAAAATGTTGAAAGACCACTAAGGTTATATTGTGACAATAAATCTGCAGTAATGTATTCCAATAACAACAGGAGCTCAACTAAGTCAAAACATATTGACATTAAGTTCCTGGTTGTGAAAGAAAGGGTACAGAGTGGACAGATATCCATAGAGCACATTGGGACAAACTCCATGTTAGCTGATCCTCTTACTAAGGGATTGCCACCTAAGGTCTTTCATGAGCATACTGCTCATATGGGTGTGGTATTATTTGAGGATATTATGTTTTAGTGGGAGTTTGTATTTGTGGTGCTTTATGTTTGTTTGTATTGTCTGATCAGAATAAAGTTTTCAGTTAAGACACTCTGTTACATTATGTTTGGTTTTGACCTCACTAAGGAGGACCAGTTGAAAATAGACATGTACTGATCACATTGCATGTAATTTTCATGCTGCACATCCATGATTGATCTATGTCGTTTGATTGTATTGGTATATGTGACCATTGATGGGTCGAGTCACGATAAATGTGACGAAGGCCGCTTTGATCCTATATTGATATAGTCAATGGACGAGATTGTTCGGAAATACCCTTTCAGTGATAGCATTTTTTGAGCTCATAAGGTTATACACAATTTAAGGAATCATATGGTGCCCAAGTGGGAGATTGTTGGATTTAATCTAATAAATCTATTTGTGGGCACATATGATTAATCAATGTGTATTGCTATCTTTCAGGATAACCCACTAAAGTGATCAATTAAGTTGGGTTAATTTGGTATTTAAATGATCATGGGGTCATATGTGCAGATACCAGGTTGTAATTGTAATTTATTGAGGGGCTAAATTACAAAAGTACAACATCTATAAATAAGGGGTTATGGTCCCTAACCTAGGGTTACATTCTCTAATTCTCTACACCCCCATCTAGCTAGAGAAATTCGGTTCTAGAGAAACTCTAAGGTTAGAAGATCCAAAACCCAAAATCAAGATCAATCTATGGATTCAGTTATAAGCTTCCGCTCTCTTTTGATTTTGTTAATCTCTTTGAATTAATCATGGCTATATGGTTTTAGATCTCAAGTTTTATGATGTAGATCTAACATTATCTACTTGTAATTTCTTTATCTTAACAAACTAATATCATTTTTATGTTTTATATATTTTATTAATATTAGTTTTTTTAAATTGTTAAGCTAAACATGGTTCACATAGGATTAGGATAAGATATGATTATGATTAGGATAGATTAAGATATAAATAAATTATTCAAAATAGTGAAGGGTAATATTGACCATTAAAAATTAGAATTTGATTATAGATAAGGTAGTTCAAACTATAAAGGGGTATATTTGTCTAAAAAAGATTTTCCAAAATCCCCGCTTCCATGGCAGCGGTTAACTAATGTTTATAAATCATGATCTCCTTGTCATGATCTTTCACTCATTAGACAAGAAATTTGCGTCTAAACCTCCTTATCAATCCAACTAAGAGAATAAACTACAAGTTTGTCAGGAACGATAATATAATAGTTAAGAAGACCACAATAGAACTAAATGGAATAGGATTTGGGCTGCCGACACCAAAAATTTGAGAGAAGGTTCTACTTTAGACTTTTCACAATTTGACACAAAAACACATGAACTACCGCTAAGAAGAATGAAAATAGAGACTCACGTGAATTCAAAGCATGAAACTTACAAAAGTTTTTCCAGAGCCAAGGACACTGTATGGATGCATAACTGATACAAAACAAGGATTTCTTGATTGAACTGATTTCGCTAACATCAATGCCTTATTTTCATCTGCACCAGACAGTCTTTTGCGTGGAAAATAAATGTTTCGGCGGGAAAACATCTCCCGAGAGATAATATCGTCAGATTCTTGTTTAATGTATTTCATTCTGCCTGCGGCACCAAAAACATTGCCCAAACATTTTTCAGACATAATAAAATAAATTGATATAGAACGATTGAAAGAAGTTGAGAAATTAATGTTTCCAAGCTAATCAAATGTAGTCTTTTTAATCAGTCTCGAGATATCGCATTGCTGCATCATTGAAATGAAGATAGCTCATATTTAAAATTCAAATGGAAATAAAAATATCACTAATATACCTACTGATAGCCTATGAATGCTAGAATTTGAACTTGCTTTGCATATGGAAGATAACTAAGGGGGACAACAAAATCTTAACTTGGGATAAACGCATTTTTCTATATCACTAATAGCACTAAAATAAAAGAAAAATCAACTTACAAGATTGGCCAAGATTCTTTTTTTGATGAGTAGAGTTGCTTCTGGTAATTTTCTGGTTGTAACTTACTCCGGCCCTCTGGTAATTTCTTGGAGCTCTACAATTTTGTCCAGAAAATGAAGATGATGGTCGGGAATTGTCACTAGAGATAACCATCACTTCATTATGAGATTTTATATCCAAATATTCTACAGAATCATCACTCTTTCGTCCCGTCTCCAAATTTCCTTTCTTAAGCACAGATGAAGATGCTCTCTCACAGTGATCTCTTTTGAAAATTGAAAACTTAAAGCAGGAATTTCCATTATATTTGAAAATCACAAAGTCTCCCTCCTGTATATGGTTGTCTTTGACAAATTCATCCCATCCAACTTGGAATGAAATCTCGTCTGAAGTTTTTGCCAATTCAACAGACCAAATTGTTCCACTGGGACTCCTCAGAATAACATTTTGAGAAAGTTCGCTTTTGAAATGATCAGAGAATTTCTTCGGTATTTTCTGCATGGAAATGATAATGCATATGCTCAAGAAAGATTGAAACAAACAAAAATGCTTCTCTCGAACAGAAGAAATAAAATTTGAGGAATAAGTTTCTTTTTAATAGTTAACAGTCATAGGCCAAAATGATATACTATTCTTCAATCTTACTATTCACGCGAACCTTAGTCCTTGGGCTACATGATGGGTTTTGATGGAAATATTATTTGTCCACGAACAAAAAATATCTATTCTAAATAATAATTATCCATGACATTCGTTTAAATCATCGAATTCTCTAAGAAACTCTTTGATATGATTACTGCACCTTACAAAGAACACAAATGAATTGTAGGAGTAATTTACATTCAGATTGTAACAGGACAAATTTACCAGCTATACGGAAGCTCATCTTTTGACAACTACATACTAGATAAATAATTCCTTTTTTTCCGAAAACATGTACTACATTATGTGCAATAAAGAAAAAGCACATTTACCAAGTGATCAAAGCTAACAAAATGGTGATAGGGAAAAGAATAGGTCAGCCAAAAAATACCATTACCTTCTTATGCTCTGGTCACAATTGATTCCATCTAGCCAAACAGATTGACTCTACTCCTACTAAAATAATAAATCACTACTCTCTAAATTAGTCCTTAAAATCGCATAATAGAACATTGTCAGAAGTAACCTTTTAGCCACACGTTAGGATGATCAAAGCATAAACACGGGTGATAAAAAATAGATCTCATAACATACACCTGTCCGATTCATAGAAAAATACAAATGTACTTATTCCCAAATAGTCTAATTTTTCAATTTTTCAACCACCTCACTAAGTTAAATGTTAACCAGATTAGTCAATATTTGTATGTTTTGATGCAACAATAAGATGCTATTTGTAACTAGTAGTTTTGTTGGTTGGCTAATTGGTCACATTTTCTTCATGAAATCGGCTGAATTGGTATAATTCTGTATGCGGAAAAATCATTCAATTCGATCTCATAAGTACCTTGTAACAAAATTGGGAAATTCACAATTTGTTAAGGAAAAAAGTTACAGTTATAGTTGCTTTTTGTTTTAGATGCTTTTATTCTTTCATTTTGTAACTGCTGCAGGTACAAAAACAACCACCTCCTTCACGATAACTCGAATCTGCCCGCTACAAATGGTTAATTGCACAAAGACCCCCTCTAGTATCACGTTTTAGTTTAATTTTGGCGGATAGTTATAATTTTATATTACGAATGTCCCCGCAGGTTGGAGGCCCTTCTATGGGCAGTAACCTGGATTTTTTGTTTGTCGCCAGGAAGATTTGAACTGCTCTTATATCATCATAAAGTTCACCAAAACTCTACACCAAAATTCTAAAGTTGTGGTCAAGATTGAGGGTTATAATTTTATATTCTAACAAAGATACAGCAATGTCTGCGCTCAACTAAACCTTAAAAAATAGCTTAAACTTTGCAACCGTGAGGACTGCAGTCGTAGCCAGACAAACGACTAGAAGTATAGTTTTTTTATGAGACAAACGATTAAAACTCTAATTGTAATGGTCAATTTGCAAATTGCAAGCCAAAGTTTTCACACATTTCTTCCCAAATTCAAAAGCACATATTCGTATACGCATGTTTACGATGCATAATATATAATAGTATATATATACTTATATATAGTATATATAGTATATATATATATATATATGGGTATGCTTCGGGTACCAACACAAATTTTGTGCTGTGGATGTTGATGATATGTCTCACTCATTGCAATATCTGGGTACCAATTCACTATGGTTTGAGGAGGTCATATGCAACCAGTTTGGTGCTTTACCAAGGCATACGCCTATTTTGATCATATTATAATATATATATATATATATATATATATCATATATATATATAATATATATTATATATATATTTAATATATATAATATATGATATATATATAAGACCGAGAGAGAGAAAATATGGAGAACCTCGGTACAAAGTTGCCTTAAGACAACTTGTTATGATGTGGCATTAAGCTTGTCCCTACATACACCGTTGAGAGATAGAGCCATCAACCACCATTCAGCCAACTGCTAAGTTTATTAATGAGTATGCAGTATTAGGGGGCGGTCCACTATCATACCAAGGTTGTTTTCTGAGCAATTGGTATCCAAGTCTTCTCCATTTTTACTCAATATTATATATATAGATATACTATATATATTGAGTTATTTTTTTATACCATTTGCTGAGAGAAATCACCCTCCATAACCTCGTAAAACTGCTTTCCCTTCAGACCCTGATGCTTCCAGTAGCAATGCTCTTTATAGCTGATGCAGATCTCACAGTCCTCCATAAGAAATCAATCCTAAAATTTAAAGAGAAAGTAAAATAAGAAAAGGGAAAAAATAATTTAAAGAAATTGCAAAATAGCGGTTATGGAGATCCAGTATGCTTTAAATTACCCAAGAAACAGTAATTGGTATAAATGAAGATAAAAGAAGAAAAACAACTCACAAGCTCGGATTGATCTCTCTGTGGGTGAAGGAACGAAGACAGCAACAGAGCTTTTCTAGACACACACACAAGCGAAGTATTAAAAGGGCACGTGTCAGTGAGATAAAGTACTATTCAAAATATTTTTAATATTTATTTCCCATTCTCGGAAGCTGTAGCCTTAATGGCTTTGACCTGTCAAAAGTCCCGTCTGACTACATTTCATTACGAATATATTTAATTATTTTAATAAAAAATTAACCTAAATATACTTTTGTGCAACTTTATGAAGATATACAATAGTTTAGGATCTCTAAAATACAGCAACGAATTATTCTACTTAAGCTATATATTATCGTATGGTTAGACTTAATGCATTTGGAATTATTTTGGGCTGATGTGAATTTTGATAGAATTTTGGATGTGATGTTGTGATGATGTATTGTGTTGTGATAATGTTTATTTTTTAGATTTGTGTTATAATGTTCTGATTTTATAACTTTTATCAATGTATACAATGTTAGATGATATATTGTGGCAAAAATTTTGGTGAAAAATTTGGTTGTATGCTCAGCTAGAGGGTCATGCATGTTTTGTGCATGTTTTGCCTCAGCCCAGCAAACATACGGGACTACTAGTCCTGTATGTTTGCTGGGCAGAGGCAAATTGTCTCTGCAAAATATACGAGACTAGTAGTCCCGTATATTTACTGGCAGAGGTAAATTGGCTCTGTAAATTGTGCGGGACTACTAGTCCTGTATATTTGCTTGCAGAGGTAAATTGGCTCTGTAAAATTTACGGGACCAGTAGTCCCGTACGTTTTGGTGAGCCACCAAAAATATGCCAGAAAACATACGGGACTACTAGTCCCGTATATTTTCTAATCGGTAATTAGTGTGTTGAAAACATACGGGACTACTAGTCACGTATGTTTTCAAGGCACTTTTTTAAAAATCGACCTCTTTTTTGCCAACAGGTCAAAAAGAGGTCGATTTTGCTAAATATTTAGCAAAATAATCGATTTTGCTAAATATTTAGCAAAAGTGATCTATTTTCAGAATTTTTCCATTTGCAAACTAAAAGTGTGTTGTAGCCCTAGTGGCTTTGACCTGTCAAAAGTCCCATTTGACTACATTTCATTTACGAATATATTTAATTATTTTAATAAAAAATTAACCTAAATATATCTTAGTGTAACTTTATGAAGATACATAATAGTTTAGAATCTCTAATATACAGTTTGGAATTTGCAAACAGTGTGTGAGCCGTGACTAAAACTAAAAGAATCACAGTTTAATACAGTTAAAAAACAAACAGTGTAGAAAATTAAGAGAAACAATGTCGACATTTTAGTTATGATTAATATTTTGAGATGAATAAGAAACAACCAATTTAATCTAAACGTGCATGAAAAAGATCTAAGACATTTGTCATATTTAAACTACAAATCACAGTAAATGCATGCAAAAGTATACCTGCAGGTATAATATACTCTTCAAGATACCTTCCATTAAGGGGTTGTTTGGTTCAAAGACCCCATTATTGGAAAATCTAATTTCAGGAAGAAAAACCCTTTTTATGTTTCCAGCCACTTCTCATAATTGATTTTTTTTTTTGTTGGAGCAAAAACAACCCCCAATTCTTTGGTCCTCACCCGTTAAAAGCCACATCACCCATCTCAAATGAAATATTTGAATTTATTCAACTTCAGCTCATTTCCGCTGAGGGGTTGTTTGTTTGCCTTAAAAAAAGGGAAATCAAAGAAAAGGAAACCTATTTCTAAGAAAAATAGGTTTTGAGATTGTTTGGTTGGCTAAAAAAAAGGAAATCAAAGAAATGGAGATGAGATGAGATGAGTTGTCACCTTATTATAGGATGATGTGAGTGATTTTTTAAGAAAACTTGTTTTGATGTTGTTTGGTTGGCGGAAAAAAAATAAGGAAATAAATTATAAGAAACCTATTTCTTGTAATAGGTTGTTTTCTTTTGTTTGGTTATTTCTTAAAAATAAGAAAATAGATGAGATGAGATGAGTTGTCATTATATTATTGGATGATGTGACCCACACTTAAGGAAATTGTTTTCCTAGCTTTTTGGGAGGAAAACAAAGAAATGAAATGTTAATGGGATGAGACGAGTTGTCACAATCTTATTGGATAATGTGAGTGATTTTTAAATATGAGATGAGATGAGTTGAGTGATGTTGTGGATGAAAATAATATTTTATTAGATGTAGTGGATGTGATGGATGAGTTGTTGGATGAAATTAATATTTTATTAGATGTGGTGGATGAGTTGTTGGATAAAAATAATATTTTATTAGATGTTGTGGGTGAGTTTTAGGGGGTGTTTGTTTTGCTTTTTTTTTGGGATATGATAGTTTTGGGATGTAAAAAGTGCTTTTTTGTGGTTTTAAAAATCCATAACTTTGTTTGTTTCACTTTTTTTTTGGGATATTGAATCCCTAAATTATAAAACAATAATATTTTATTAGGATTTGTGAAATCCTCTCTCTTGTTTCCATCTTTTTTTTGGGATATAAGGTTTTAGAAATCGATAACTTTGTTTGTTTCAAAACCAATTTTGGGATATCAAATCCCAAAATATTAAAAACTATTATATTTAGGCATTTGTGAAATTCTACACTTGAGAGAGGATGTGGGTTGGATATTGATGTATTAATGCTTATAATATAAGATTAATATAAGATTAATATATTATATATAATATTATAATAATATAATATTTAATATAATACATCTATATATATATATAATTTAATATATATATATATAATATAATATATATATATATATATATATATTGTATTATATATATATATATATATAATATAATATATA